GAAACAACTGCTTATGGGCCTCCTGTTGCTGCTTCAACACACACACACACCACCGTTGTGTGAGAGAGCGAGTAGAGTCAAAGATTGTTTGGTTTTTATCACCCTATAAACCTCAGCTGCGACCTGAGATGGAGAAAAAGAAGAAGACATCGCAGCTTGTTGGAAGAATGTTTCCTAAGATCTCTCCCTCCCACACACACAAACACACACACAAACACACACACACACACACACACACACACACCACCCAGTCGGGCTGGCTTAGTGCATGATTACAGGGCTATTTACATTACGACAGAGAAAAGGGGGTGAGAGATTGGCAAAGAGAGAGAAAGAAGATGGTTTCCAGATGTGCGATGGAATTTAGAGAGCTACGGGACGACTCCCCTCCTCCTCCTCCTCCTCCTCCACTGAGCAGAGAGAGGTCTGGATCTGCATGTGCACTTTGTGAAAGAGAGACCAGGAGACGGAGAGAAACCACAAAATAGAGGAGAAGGACAAGGCGTTGCACTGCAGGGGTGGGCGAGAAGAACTCAAGCCAGCAGGGGGATAAGAAGGATGGAGATGGAGGAACGAATTAAGCAGAATGAAGAGAAGGAAGAAAAGCAGGGCCTCCTTGGCGGTTTGGTGGAGGTTGTTTTAGTATTAGTGAACAATACAAATCTGGGGAAATTCCACAGAATTATTTTCCAAAACACAAAGCTTTTCCCCAAACACTTTTTCTCAAGGTCTTATCTGAGCTTGTATCGGGTGTCTTATATATGGCTTTTCAATTATAGGTCATGGTAAAACAGACGTACAGTACAGGTTGTGTGAAAAAACATAGCATCCCATTTAAGTGAGGCTCCATTGCACGTACAGACTACATAAAAAGTGGACAGATTCCCCGCAATGTCCCTCGTTGGTTTGTTGCTGTGGTTATGAAGCTGTATCGGTTCTTGGCCGACACCATGTTGGCATTTTGCAACCAAATGTCACACGAGATGCTGGAGCTAAACCAATCGCTGAACAAGGCCTTTTTAGACAATCAGGTTGTTACAATTAAGTAAAAACACACATTAAAGGGTTAAAGTTGTGTGACAGAAGACACTCCCAGGGCGGAAACAGCAGCGGTAGCGGTCTGTCTATCACAAAGGAGCCTCACCATGAAGCATAATCTGGAATTAAGAGTAGCACCCTGAACGGATCATTATTTACAAAATATGCATCGTCCTGTATTGAAGAAGACTTGAAACTAGAGATGTAGATCATGAACTAATGTTTAGAATGTTTACTGAGCCGTAAAATCATTTTCCTAGTTCACTTTTTTCAACCAGAGGAGTCGTCCCCTGGTGGCCATTAGAAGAAATGCATGTTCGATCGTTATCCCTATCAGAAGGACTGCCTTTGGCTCAAGTTGCTTTCTCTTATTCATTACAGGAAATACCAACATCCACCTTTTTTTCTTGGAAGGGAAACTGACCGACATTCTTCTGGCTCTATAAACAGAAGGCTGCGTGATCAATACGTGCATATACAAAATATCTACATGCACACACACTCAAACGCATTTAAATAATTCACACTGGGCCACACTCTTGGATCTGTTAAGACATGTCAGGATTGAGGAATTCATCCAGCACACGGCCGGAGAGACGGCATGGTTTTGCTTTGGAAATCTTCCTCTTGTTGACTTTCAGGAGGTGAAACCAGTGAGCGACCAGGTGTTTCATATACTGAAAAGTCTTAATTCTATTCTTCGATTTCTTCTCAGAGGGCCGAGAAAAAGGTAAAAAAGGAAAAGTGGCTTTCCTGGAATAGGTGCACTGTAACCGATACCTACACAGTTAAAGCAACGGGTCAAATGGTTTGGGAAGTGAAAGGGGTGGCGGAACGCAACCTTTCAGCAGCTTTCAGCTCATTGTTTTGGTTTCTACTGCCCACGACAGTGTTTTGGTTAACTCTTGCCACTCTCGTAAGTGGCAACTTAACCAGACGGAAAGTGCTCTATATTTGAAGCTTTCTGTTTCCTGAATATTTCAGTGTTTTTTAGGGCTCCTTGTAGATTTAAGTGGCTGATGAATTAAGCGGAAGCACAGAAGGTGAGATGCCTGCAGTTAATCCCAAACAAAGCCGAGGCAACGCTGAATGTATTGGTGGAAATACTGATTAACCAATACTTTAAATGGTGGAAACATCTGTCAACACTAATTCAGCCCCGGGAGGGTCCTTCCTGAGGGTTTATTGGCAGTGTCGTGTGGTAGAAGCTCCCCAGGCTGTGTTTGTGTGTATGTATGTGTGTAAAGGAATTTCTCATTCGCAGCCTGCCAAAACTTCTTTTAGAGACCTCTTGTTTGTTTATTATGCTGTTGAAATGGAGCTGCGTAGCTCTGGAACTGATACAGACCAACTGTCTTTGTTTACATTGATACAAACACGCACACGCACACACACACAGACCCGCCTTGTGACAGCTTTTATCAATTTCAACATACTTCAAATGAATCACACAGACAGCGGTCGGTCCGGGCACGTCGGGATTGGGAAATTCACCCGACTATCGCCACTCCTCCGGGAATTCTTCTGATGATTAATAGGATTCAAAGTTTTGGTCCCTTTTTTAATACAGTTTTGATTAGTTGAAGCTGCAGTTCAGAGGTGTAATTGCATGACAAAGCATTTTTGGGAGGAGAAAATCCTTTAATGTTTCCCTGATACCTTACTATTGCAGTCGAGTAAAGGCATGCCTTGATGATTTAAACACATTTGGTAGTTATGATCCTACTGTGGGGCGTCACGGTGGTGAGGTGGTTAGCACTGTTGCCTCACAGCAAGAAGGTCCTGGGTTCGATTCCACCCAGTGGCCTTTCTGTGTGGAGTCTGCATGTTCTCCCCGTGTCTGCGTGGGTTCTCTCCGGGTTCTCCGGCTTCCTCCCACAGTCCAAAGACATGCTCTGGGGATCAGGTTGATTGGTGACTCTAAATTGCCCGTAGATGTGTGAATGTGAGTGTGAATGGTTGTATGTCTCTGT